AGGGAAGGAGGGCAGAGGACAGGAGAAGGGAAGGAGGGCAGAGGACAGGAGAAGGGAAGGAGGGCAGAGGACAGGAGAAGGGAAGGAGGGCAGAGGACAGGAGAAGGGAAGGAGGGCAGAGGACAGGAGAAGGGAAGGAGGGCAGAGGACAGGAGAAGGGAAGGAGGGCAGAGGACAGGAGAAGGGAAGGAGGGCAGAGGACAGGAGAAGGGAAGGAGGGCAGAGGACAGGAGAAGGGAAGGAGGGCAGAGGACAGGAGAAGGGAAGGAGGGCAGAGGACAGGAGTAGGGAAGGAGGGCAGAGGACAGGAGAAGGGAAGGAGGGCAGAGGACAGGAGTAGGGAAGGAGGGCAGAGGACAGGAGAAGGGAAGTAGGGCAGAGGACAGGAGAAGGGAAGGAGGGCAGGAACAGAGTCATATTGAGCAGAGACAAGCAATGTCTCCAGAGTCCTGAGTGTCAGTGTGCAGAGCAGATATTGGACTGTTGGCTCCCTCAGTCAGTGTCGGGGTTCACCTTATTCTGGCCACAAGTCATTTGGTGATGACCTCCCCCTGTGAGTGGAGGATGCGGTCACATGAATAATGAATGTAGGAGAGGATGGAGCGGCGGCAGAGCTGACGTAAGTCTGAGTCAGATTGCCGCTAATGGGCCATCATTTTGCGGCGGCGCGGTCATTAGCGCTCCTCGCCTCTCCCTGAATATTGCTTTTCCCTCTCTCCTAGAACCGGGAGCCCTGTCACTATTTTCCACCGATCCGTCTAAGATGGCCGCCTGCGCTCAGGAGCGGTGATGATGGCCGGGGGATGGAAGGCGAAGCACAGCTTTCAGCGATCGCCATTTTGGAGGAACTGTCAGTGGAGTTGCCGGAAGAAGAGCGCGGCGCTGCCATGGTGCTCACCAATCACCCCCCTCGCTGGCTTTCAATTTCCTGTTTTTCGGTAAATAATGCGTTCTGTGCGCTCCCGGGAGCCCCGCGCCGGCCCCGAGATGCCCCATGGGGCCCCTCGCTGATTCTTCATAGGAGATTCCCACCTATCCGGAGCAATGAGTCGTAAATCTTCACCGGGATCACCGATGGGATCATCGCCATGGATCTGTCAGACATTGCCGGTCATCACACAACCTTCCATGTGCTATATACACAGGGGGGGGGGGGTTC